TCGTACGTCTATACTATATATAGTATATATATATATATATATATATATATATATAGTAATATATATATATATATATATATATATATATATATATGATTGATAAAGTTCCCTTCTACCGCGTATGTCCTATGGCTATATATCCTATCCTCTGTATATCTAGCAAAGCAGCGAATTGGAGCAAAACGTATATATATTCCCCCTCCACCACCCATGTTTCGTGTCTGACTTCGTCATGACTTGTGCTAACCAACCCACACAGCGGGATATTAGCAGTGTTTAGTACGTATATTGTCTGTTTGGAATATTTCATGTTTTATACTAACCCACGCACATAGCGGTATATATGCAGTGTTCAGTACTTATACTGTCGGTTTTGGACTATTTCATATCTGGTGCCCACCTACTCACACAGCGGGATTTATTCAGTGTTGAATATGTTTTTTGTCAGTGTTTAGTACGTATTTTATCAGTGTTTAATACGTGTAATGTCTGTATCTAAATGTCTCGTATCCTGTACCTACCTACCTGCACAGTGAGATTGAGTCGGCACTGGACAGGCACCCGTCATTAAAAGCCAATGTAGTCGCAGTGTCGGAGATCGCAGGCAACAAACAGCTGGTGGCCTACGTAGTGGCAGCAAAGGATGTCAACGCACTCGACATCCCTATGCTCAAGAACCATATAGAGACGTATGTGCTAAGTGCCTTTTGGGTTTGAGGAATTTAGGATTTAGGGTTTAAGCCATATAAAGACGTATGTGCTACGTGCTTGGTTTCTTACTTGTGTCATACGTTCCGATGCTGTTCGCTTTGTACTGTGCATGTCCGTATGTTTAATATACCCATGGTACTTCTTGTCCTTATTACTACTTGTACTTGTTACCATCTATCACTGTATATATATATATATATATAAGTATGTACATATCCATCTTATCTTCTTGTGGGCTGTTGTGGTTGTGACGAAGGGTGTGGAGCCACCCGACCTCGCTAAGCAGAAACGCATGTGGTGATGAATACACTATTTATTCCTACACTCATTTATACATGGATCCTCGAAATTGCACACTAGCTTGTTGCTTTCGTTCGCATAAGGTTGAGGTGTGCTTGCAGGGTCTTTGGGTGTTGGAGTGTGTGGTTTGTCAACAGAGGTATATGAAGCTTAACCATGAGCATATGAACTTGAACCACTCTGGTTACTCTTGTGCACAATGTCGTCCTGTAGTGCTGCTGTTTGTGTGCATGTGCAAGGCTATGGTTAAGTTAAATGAAGTGAAATCAGGCTTAAGTACCGTTGCGTACGGCTCGCCTGCTTGGCCTGGAGGTCTATATAACCGCGTCACTGGGTGTGTGTGCACCTGATAGTGCTACACTCTCGAGCCCTGTTATGCATGAACTCGTGATCCTCCCTCCTGCGTGTACATCGCGTGTTCTCCTTTAGTGTGACAGTGACAGGTGTACTGAACTTGCATCCGTTAGGATCAACCTTACTGCACAGTCCATGCATGTCAAGTGTGGTTCGTTCGCACGCAGCACGGGTACACATCTTGTGTACGCGGCAGTCCATTCTACCCACCACGGGGTGTATTCATATCACCCACCCTTCGTTCTCATTCCAACACTTGTATATATATCATACATTATCCTCTACTTTACCTACCTTCACTCTACCTGCCTACCCCCTTTTGTATTCATGTCACGTATGCCACTCACACACCCCCCCAAAAAAATCCCTATCCCCCCTCCCCGAACACAGGTGTTGCACCCCCTATATGGTACCGAGCATCTTCATCCAACTGGAAGGACTACCATTGCTGCCCAACGGAAAGGTCAACCGGAACGCACTGCCCAAACCAGAAGCAGCCCGCGCAGAGATGGCCGACCAGACGTTGCAAGGTATGGGGTGTATGGGGCACAGGCATTGGTACATGCATGACAAACACTGGGAAGTTCTGTACTATCACTTCCACATGCATGACAAACACTGGGAAGTTCTGTACTATCACTTCCACATGCATGACAAACACTGGGAAGTATTATACTATCACTTGTACATGCATGACAAACACTGCGAAGTTCTCTATCATCACTTGTACATGCATGACAAACACTTGGAAGTTCTGTACTATCACTTGTATATGCATGACAAACACTAGGAAGTTCTGTACTACCATGTGTACACGCATGGCAAACACTGGGAAGTATTTAGCTATCTACCACGGGCATTCTACCTAGGACTTCGTTGTTATACACGCATGCCTGCCAACCCCGGTTCGTTTTATTTCACCTGCTGTGTGCGTATTTTCTATATCGAGTATGTGATGCATACATGCCAAATACTGGTTCATGATAGGTTTTCTAGTCTACATATTAAGGAGACATCTATGCACACATACGCGTAGGCTCTTTTACTAGTATGTGTGCCGTTGACCTATCCCATCTGACTGGTGCATGCTTGCTTCGTCCGGCCGATGCGCTGATTAATTCCTGGTTATTTGTCCACCGTTGTAGAGCCGAGGAACCCTCACGAAAAGGCCATCCTCGACATGTGCCAGCAGCACTTGGGAATCCAGGGCATCTCCACCAATACAAATCTGTTCAGTATTGGTATGTTGTTATATTCTCGATCAAAGTAGGTTTATCTGTAGCATACACTATTATATATTGAAAGAACGTATTATTTTATTAACATAAAGTGCCATATATTAGAAGAAAGTACTACGTATCAAAACAAAGTGCTATGTGTTAAAACACAGTACTCTATATTAAAAGAAAGTGTTATATACTAAAAGAAAGTGCTATATATTAAAAAGCAAGTGCTGTGTTAAAACAAAGTACTCTATATTAAAAGAAAGTGTTTTATACTAAAAGAAGGTGCTATATATTAAAAAGGAAGTGCTGTGTTAAAACAAAGTACTCTATATTAAAAGAAAGTGCTATGTACTAAACGAAAGTGCGCTATATGGCTAATAATAGAAGGCAATACATACGTATCCGCGTTCTGTGGCTGTTCATGAATCACCTGTGTTATTGCCCATCTGATGTATAAGTTTGTCTGCTCACTCCTCTATGCGGTATGTTTCTTACCTACCTGATTTCTTTGCGTACTATTGTATCCTACTTTAAACTTATTACTTATCTACCTGCTCCCTTCTCACATTGTTGTGCTCAATAACGTACCTACCTGATTTCGCCGCTTACTGTCGTGTTATATTTTAAGGCTTATTCTTACCTCCCTTTATTCTATGCATTCTTTTGGATTCTCTTTCAGGTGGTGATTCGCTATTTGCCGTCAAACTACATAACTCTATTGAGGCGAAGTTCGACGCCAATGTAACAGTGGCGGATATTCTGAGCATGCAGACCATCATAGAAATAGCCGCAGAGGTCAAGTCACGCTGCGAAAGCGGTACGAAGCGCAAGATGTGCAATCTTACAATATATATATATATATATATATGTGTGTGTGTGTGTATATATATATATATATATTGTGTGTGTGTGT